GAAAGGGCAGGTCATATTTCTGCAGCACGTCGAGTGTGTTGTTCATCCAGCTGTCAGGTCTTCTGTGTTCGGCTTCCCACGGACGCTGTACTTCGTCAACAATGGATATAATTTATGTTTGATTATGTTCCGGAAAATGACGATCGTAATCTAGCTCTCTGTGCTGCGCATTTACGAGAGACAGCTTCCAGAATCTCCACGAGTTCAACACCGGATTCAACAACAAACTGTTACTAAAACATGAAGCAGTTCCAGCTTTAAAACCAGAGGCAGCAGTTGTTGAACACAACCTGTAAGTAGGCGAAGACTTCATCATTTTATATGTATTTGCATGTATAATTCCAGACGTAGCCTTGTGTTTTATTTTTTCCAAATGCCAGCGCTGCCTTTATAGCCACTATAGGCTACTAGTAATGCTATTGTGTCTACGACAAACGCGTACAAACATTATGGACCCAATTTTCTATAAGTACTAATGTTTTAAACGTATTTTTAATGTATATATGCTCTATGACGTTATTTTTGATTTGATCAAGAACGCAAACTTGCCAATGCTGTTTGAGTATGACATTAGTAGCCAGTCAGTTGCTATTGTGTAAAACAAACGTGCATAACGTTAGAAAATGTAGCAAATTATCATTCAGAAGCGTTTATTAAGAGCCGTGTGTGGTGAGGTTCTGCTTAAATCTCTTCATCGCCGCTTTCTCGGTCTGATTCTGCCTCAAACCGATACTGCAGTTCGACACATATTTACATCTGGACCGGAGCTCACGTTTCGCCCGTAAAGGTAATGGGCGTTAACCTTCCGGACAACGTGAGCGACAGTTTAGCCAATCACAACACACCGGCCCAAACTAACCAATCTGAGCCCACTGCCTGTTTCTGAGGGAGTGTTTTCATAGACTCAGGAAGTGAACCGCTCGTTCGAGGACAGAGGAGAGCGCGGCTGACGATAAAGCTGAAGTTTATGAAAAATAAGACTTTTAAAAAAAAGATGTTATATTGCACCCCATAAATACAATCATGCAAAGAAAAAAAGCAGTCAACCCCCCCTTTAATCAAATGTAAAATAGCACTGCATAGTCTTCACCGTATAATTAAATCTAGATTAATCCTCGTTAAAGTTACAAAAGTTATTCAGTCGAGAGCAGTGAGTGATTTTATCTTTGTCTTTTGTTGTGGGATTAACATTAGCAGGAATATTAGGCCACTGTCACTTTAAGAGCTGCACGGATCCAATACACTGTTACACGCGTTTTTTGGGGTTTTTTTCAACCGTATTTTTTATTATTCATTAATTGCTGTTTGTGAAGGTCTGAAGTGATGGGTATGTGCTGCATGTTATTGAATCCTGGAACAGTCCAGAGGTTTGTTGTTCATCTGAACTCTGTTTCTGGCTGCAGATTCTCTCCCGTGTCCATCGATGGAGTCGGGTTCCCTCACGCCGCTGGCTGGTGTATCTTCGTGTATAATCTCGCCCCGGACGCGGATGAGAGCGTCCTCTGGCAGATCTTCGGCCCGTTTGGCGCCGTCATCAACGTCAAGGTCATACGAGACTTCGGCACAGACAAGTGCAAAGGCTTCGGCTTCGTCACCATGAGCAGCTACGAGGAGGCGGCCGTCGCTATCGCTAGTCTGAACGGGTACCGGCTCGGGGAACGGGTTCTGCAGGTGTCCTTCAAGACCAGCAGAACACACACGGCCTGAGCCCAACACGGCCAATATTTCAATATTTTCTACTGTTTGTGTTCTTAAAGTGGTTTAATTTTAAAAACATCTGTTTCAGTGGAGTAACAGCCATTGTAACTTTGAGTGTTTTGTTTTCGAGTCGTCTTCTATTTTAGATTTCTACATTTCTCTGGTCTAAGTGATTTAAAGTTCATTTACTAATTTAGTTTCTTTAACATTGACTTGTGAGTTTTGTGTTTTTTTAAGTTGTTTTTTTTTTTCTTTGTTGCATAATGTTACTTAACGTAAATTGTTTACTTTATGTAAAAAGGCCAGAATTCCTAAAGCGATTATATATGGTAAAAAAAAGCTTGGAAGTTTAAAATAATCTATTTTTATAAAAGAGAAATTGAAACAATTGTACTGGATCTGCTGGAGTTTTTTGACATGATTCTCTGCGTGACATTAATGAAGATCAGAAAACCATCACATTTACATTTGTTGATTTAACTGATGCTTTTATCCAAAAACAAATCACCGCGATTCCTCAAACACGGAGAGTTCATAGTTCAGACACGAGGCTGTTCAGAAGAGAAAGAGCTTCTGAGGGGGGAAGAAATCGTCAAAACTAATTCATTTTTCTTTTTAAAATAAATTCACAGAATATGATTATAGAGCTTGTGGGAAAGAGTCTGTAGATGTTGGACATCTTTTACATGAGAATCACTCTCTCATAAAGTCCAGTGACTCTTTCCCAGTGTTATTAGTGGGAGTGAAACACTGACCCCTGCTGGTGTCTACAAACACACACACTTAATGAGAGAATCGCACCCTCACTTTCCCTTGTGATTGAAGATCAAACATCTCTGAATATGTATTTTAAAACTTTTGATGTTTTAAGTGAACTAATTTGGTCATTTGAGAATTTATTTTTTGTATTTAAAGATTAGTTTTGTCAGTATTATGTGATTTGAGTATTTTTACAAGTTCTTCATGAGTGTTTTCTCTTCAGGGTAGGTAGTATTTATTGTCTTAACTACAACATATTGATTTACTGAATAACTGCTGAAAGTTAAAGATTTACATCAAATTTAAATGTGCTGTATGTTACTTTCACTGTTCTAAGGCATAAAAATATGGCCTGCAGTACCTATACCGACCACTAGTTGTCATTATTACCAAAGAGTATAGAAGAACAAGAGGCGAAACTCTGATGCTTTTTTGGTAACAGCCACTAGATGGCGCTTCGGTAGCGCGGCCGCCATATCGGGGTGAAAATGCCAACTGGAGTTGCTGGACAACAGCACAGATAACAGTTTTTTGAGGTAGTTTTTTCTTGCATTAGTGAGTATTTCCACTGTATGCAACTTTACACGTTTACTACTATTATTAGTTACCAACTCCACTAGGCCTGAAATATATTTTGGACGTTTTAATCCCCTGGATCATGCTACAAACATGATGATCATTGATGCGCTGTGTCCGTTATCCTATAACTAATTGCCACTTTGGACATTGGCTGTGTTTTTTTTTTTGTTTACATGGTCTTGTGTCATTAATATAAGATAGGCTAGTACTGCAAAAAAAAAAAAAAAAACTGTTTACTGTAAAGCTATTCTGTTGCTGTTATATATTTATTGTCAAACATTTACATTTTAGTACAACATTTATTTGCTGAATTTATTTCATTGATAACTTATTTTTGTAAGTAACGTTATGTGTAGGCCTACCTCCCGGGAAACGGTCTATGTTATTATAACTTTATGAACTGATATCACTTTATTCTTAATGTGGAGAGTAATATAATGAATTAAATCCTTGAACTTCCCTGTCTCAAGTTATGGGGGTAAAAGCCCGGTTAAGTAGCAACTTCTTTTTTTAACTGCTATAAAGTTAACTGTTGTTCGTTAAATAATCACCTAGCCTAATTATTTCAACCTAAAAATGATCTCTGTACTGGACTAAATATATGTATATTATATGACTGCCGAGTCGCTTTCACCCCGGAATGGCGGAGCGTAGGGCTGCTGCTGCTGCTGGCGCTGGTGTTGCAATGGGACATCTATTGGCTTTCACTTCTTGTCAATATACGTTCTTTGTTATTACCGACTGCACCTTTAAATCCTCTTTTTGAGATATGAAGTGTTAAAGGGATATTCACCCAAAAATTAAACTTGTAGTTTCTATCTTCTGTTCAGCAAAAAAGATATTTGAAGAATGACAGTAACCAAACAGTTTGATAAAACTCACGGCCTTCCAGAATAGGACATAAAAAATTGTACAAGTCGAAGAAGTTCATCAAATTGTTTTGTATGAACATCAAAAAAGTTACACACACTCTCTCTCTCTCTCTCTCTCTACAACACACACACTATCTATCTCTCACTCTCTCTTGCTTACACACACACACACAATAAGAAACTCAAACATGATGCAAATGATGCCAGACGTTTCTAACACTTTAACTGCATTTCTGTTGAGTTTTGTGTGAAAATGTCACCTGGTCTGATGCCGATTAGGGTTGGGTATCGTTCGAATTTGAATGATTCTGATTCCGATTCCTTGTTTCGATTCCGGTTCCTAGCGATTCCGATTCTTTTAAGACGCAGGGTCAAAAAAGTTTAGCTAACCTTGCTAACCAATGGTATTTCTGAAGGAAATACTCCTTCTGTCACAAATACTCCTTTTGTCACAAATTTAGCATTTTGCCGAGATTTCGTTATTTTTAGAAAAGTGAAGCCACACTTTGGACCGCCGACGTAAGCTACTCATGTTCGACTCGCGCGGTTATGCCAACACTTCCGGTAGACGCTTCTTCGTTGGTGTTGTTCAGCGGTTTCTTCTTCTGCTCGGCGGACTGTGAATATCGAAACTAGAAATCGAAATTTTAACTTTTGAACGATTCCGGGAAAAATGAAAAGTTAGTCCCGGTTCCAATCGATACTCGATTCTCGATACCCAACCCTAATGCCGATTTAACTATATTCACCTGCATGTTCAAGCTGAAGGTTTCGGTTATTGATTTATAGTCAATCTAAATCACTTTTTCTCAGCTGTGAACCACAGATTCATATTTCACAGATATAGTCCTCACATATACTTTAAACAGGATTGATCAAGCTTTTTCTACTATAGTCAATTAAATAAAGTTATATTTAAAATTATTATCAAAGTTTGACATTCAAATATGCATAAAAATACATTTTCAAAATATATAAAGATATATAAAACACGATTGAATAAAACTGGACGCATTTTGCCCATTAGATGTCAGTGAAGCTCCACTGGGACACATTGGCTGGATTTGGGATTTGCAGATTTTCTCTCAAATATTTCAAGCACACACATTTTTTTTTATTACACATGCAAACCACATTCTGACATCCATACCAACACACACATAGCTGCAAGTGTTTATCAATTGGCTATATAATGTGCAGACAACAGGAATTAAGCGAGTATTTATATTATAGGCCAAACCTGAGAAAATGGCAGCATCTGGTAAACAATTTTGAAGCGATGAATAAAAGAATGAAAGCCTATTAACAAGGATTGCATTATTTTATAGTTGAATGACCCTGGGATAAAAAATAATAGGTTTCAATGGGGGCAATTTTGTCTAAAAGGTCCTGAGTGGAGCTATTTGTGTTTCTAGTGCAATATAGCTTTATTAAAGGAAATGGGGGTAAATTAGTAAAATTCAAATAGAAATACACACCAGTGCCAAAATGAATTGGCATTAACAGGCAAAGTGATCCAAAAAAACAAAACTGAAAGAGACCAAAATGCCCATAAGGTCACCCAGGAGTTAACATCTGGATTCATCATCCATACCTGGTTCATTGGGAAAGCAGGAGATGTGGTCTGGTCATTTGTCCCGGTCGAGGCCGGAGTGAAACACCACAGGGTTGAAGGAGTCTCTGGGATACGGAAGGTCCCGCAGGAGCCGGATGTCCGCCGGCGGCCGCAGGGTCATCGGGACGAACCCAGACGTCAGGAGCGGCGGGAGGAAGTTCGGTGTGGGATAGAGTCTCAGCGGGCCGATGGCGAACCCAGGGTTAAACCCCAACATCCCGTCGCTGAACGAGGGAGACGAAGAAGAGTGCAGCGGAGAGAAGGCCGAACTGGAGTGTCCTCGCGACCCGCCGGCTCCGCTTGACCTCTGACCCTCCCGGGTGCCGAGCAGCAGCTCGATGGCCTTCACCACGTCTCCCGATCCGGCCTCCAGCGCCGAGTCCAGCGCGTCCCGCTCCACCTGAGGGAAGATCTTCATCAGGACGGCAGTGGGGGTTCGTCCGGGAGCTTCCCACTGTTTCTCCGACTCCAGATCCGCTCCAGGAGACGGCTCACTCTTTCCTGAGGTGAAGAACGCCTGATCCACCAACCCACTCAACATGCTGCATTTCTGAAGGCTTTTCTCTGCAAGAATAAAGCACAGTTTGCTGATGACAGATTCTTCAAACACTGTAGTGGGAAAATCAGCTCTCTGCATTCACACTGTCCCTGTTTCAGAAGAGCTCAGATCTAACCCTAAGGCGACAATCACACTGCTTTCTGAACTATTATTATAACACTTTTGAATACCGTTCCTTCATTAATGAATAACTACACAGGAAAAAATGAGTACCGCACTATTAACATTCTACTACCTACTATTAAGAAACAAGAAACGACTTCCCTGAGAGAATGGGAACGAGTATCGCTTCGCTAGATGCTAACGGGGGAAACTCCTTTTCTCAGAATATTGAAGCCTTTAGTTCAAAAACGCAGTGCCACGGCACAGCCATAATAGAGCGGCGATCTGAGCGTGCTCATTGGACGTACTGCACGTACCTATGGCGAAGCAGTGTGTCTGCGTGAGCCAATCGCGGTGCGTTCCACTGAGTGAGCGCGGCAAACCGGCGGGCGTCTGCCTATAAAATCAGCGCATTTCACCTTGGGAATCAGGTTTAATTAGACGAACTCCAGTTGTGTGTCGTATCAGCACAGCGTCTACTTTATCTCAGGGAACCGAGGTTATCTAAGTAACCAAGTCGTTCCCTTTCTAAACATTTACTTGTATGGTGAGGCCACCATCCTTCTTGGGAACAAGGAAGTACCGGCGGTAGAAGCCTGACTCGCTGTGGGGAGGAGGAACCGTTTTGTTCGTTATAACAGCGGTCACTTGCATGGGTGCGTGAACTTGAACGGGCCCAAACTCTGCAACTGTTACATTTACTCCGACAGCCGGAACTGAACAGGGTGTTTGAGGGGACACTCGAGACTTTTTGGAGGCTGGCCCGGCCGCAGCAAGACTTAACCCTCCCTCTTCCTTCCTGGCGGATCAGGACTGCTTCTCCAGTCCAGCGGGATTTTAGGTTGGGGTCCCTGGTGTTTAGGAGGGAAGTGTTTTGGCTGGCTAGGCTGAAACGCATTTTCTGTTGGCGACTCGATGTAACAGAGCGGGAGCGTTTGGGCAGGAGCGTTGTGTTGCATTGACTTCTGTGCCGCTGTGAAAGGCTCAAGCGCACGGCCAAAGAGAACAGTGGTGGAGATCGGAGAATCAAGGAAGGCGGTTCTGTCCACTAGGCTGACCATGGCTCTCCCGATGGCCTTCGTGCGCAGGGCCAGGTCTGTAGGCTGCGGAGATCCCGAAACGGGGATGGGTCGACTCGTCCATAGACCGGAGGAGTTTGGCCTGAAATACGAGGACCGCCATGTAGCAGTTCAAGCGTGGGCACTAATGGCTTCAATATCCGGAGAAAAGGAGTTTGCCCCATAAACGTCTAGCAACAGCATACGAGTAAACGCTTCGAAAGGGAACTCTGATTAACGCATTAGTGAGTAAGAGCGCCCAGTCGGATGTGGAACTTCACTATTAGCTAATCAATATCTACTATCTTTTCCATACCTCCCACACTGTAAAAAAATATATATTTTCAAGATTTGTTATCACAAAATTTGTTCTTTTGTCAAATCAACTTAAATCATTTATTTAGTTCAGATAACTTATTATTTTGAGTTTCTGATGATTAAATCAATCTCCTTCGTTGCATTAACTCACTTTTTCCAGTTCAGTAAACTTAAAATTTTAAGGCAACCAGGTTACTTAATTTTTTAAGTTAAACCAACAATATTTTTTACAGTGTATATATACAGGTTCATAATTAATTTTAATAATGCATACTGCATAATATAAGGTAATGGTAACCCATTAATAATGAATCAAGTTTTACTACATTCTTCTAAAGGAACTACTAATAATTTGGATCAGTAGATCATGGGACGATCAAGGGAACATACTAGTAATGACTAAAGCGTTCAATGCATCGGAAGGAATAACTTACAAAAAAACTACAAATTACAAAAAAAAACAAAAAAAACTCAAAAGCTTAAAGACTTCAGTCAATATATCAAGCTTTTCACTTTAGAATACAGATCCAAATAATTAGTAGTTTGTTTAGAAGAGTGTAGAAACACTTGAGTCATTACTAGTGGGTGACCATTACCTCATATTCAACATTATGCTTTATTCATGTTAATTATGAACCCGTAGTTCTCTGGAAGGTTTGAAAAAGTTGATTGATAAGCTAATAGTGAACTAGCCTACCACATTCAACTGAGCGCTATTACTTACTAATTGGTTAACCAGTTTCTTGTTAGTTAGTAGAATGTTAATAGTGTGTTACTCATTTGTTCCGGTGTAGTTATTCTTTAATGAAGGAACAGTATTATAATGTATTACTCTTTCCTATTATTATTTGTAGAAGGTATTTATATGCTTCTTATATTGACAATATTATTCTTAATAGGCTATATTAATATTTTTGCTGTTATTGTTGAAAAATTACTTATAGCCTATACACAATAAAAAGCCACATATCCTTTAAGTTTAAAACTGATTAAACACGAATCTGCTGAGAAGGACTGAATCGGTCCACATATTAACCAAAACACTATTAAAACAGCATCTACCGTCCGGCCTGGAGGCGTCGAACGCGCTCAGCGCTGCTCTGGAGACGCTCGCGCCGCCCTGCGTCGCTCCTGCCGCGGGGTAGATCACCTGCAGCTCCTCCTGCGCCTGCTGCCTCCGCAACGCCACCTGAGCCGCCATGACGCGCTGCCTCTCTGCGATCAACGCGCATTTGACGCACGCGCAGTCGCGCCAGCGGCAGAAGCGCTTGTGTCCCTTGAGAGCCGAGACCATCCCGTGATTCCGGCAGCGCGCGCACTTCGGGCTGCGCGGGAAACTCCTGTCGCCCTGCCGGAGGAGGAGCGTCGCGTGCGGCGCGAGGAGCGAGAAGCGCGCGCTGCTGGAGTCCATCACTGCGCGCACGCGTGTGTGAGTGTGAGTGTGTGTGTGAGTGTGTGTGCCTCTGAAGGGGAAAGAGCCAAATATTTAATGCTGCAGGTGACAAAAGAGAAACACGACACCTGACACGCCCCTCACACACACACACACACACACACACACACACACACACACACACACACACACACACACACACACACACACACCTCATTATGTTCCATCAATAATCCACCATTTTCCTCATGTTAGAATAATAATATTTATTAACACAGAAGGAAATGATGTAGTGACGAATGATGAAACAAAACTGAGTTCCTGCTTTCTCTAAACGTTATTACTGTAAAGTCGTCTCCTGTATTAATAAGTGCTTTAGTGTTTTATAAAATATATGTAATCACAATTTTATTTAAGAATGGGAAGATATCATTATCAGTCTTCAAAATGCCTTCTGCCAAATCTATTTTGTTGAGGTTTTTGAAATGAAATGTATTTTTCTTTTGTTTACAGCACTGATCCCATGCAGCTTCTGTCTAATCTCTCCTAAAACACTCATTAAAGTCATCTGTATCTCAGATAGATTCACTCGTATCGCTCAGTTTGTTTATCTCTCTCTCTTTCAGTCGCAGGAATAATCTCCACTTTGAGCCAATCGGACCGTCCATGCGGATCCACAGCAGCTTTTTCCTGGTATTTGCATTCATTTGTTGGTGAGACGCCCGCGTGTTCATTTGGGAGAGAGAGAGCGTGTGTGTGTGTGTGTGTGTGTGAGAGAGAGTGTGTGTGTTCCTCTGGGAGAGAAGAAGAGAAAGAGGATGTTATCATTTCATCCACAAGCTTCTCCATCTGCGTCTTATCGAGGAGCTGCGGATCTTATCATGCTGCCTTTCTACACGGATGAGCAACGGTGTGTGTGTGTGAGAGAGAGAGAGAGAGAGAGAGAGAGAGAGAGAGAGAGAGTGCGTGTGTGTGTGTGTGTTGTGTGTGTGTGTGTGTGTGAGAGAGAGACAGTGTGTGTGTGTGTGTGTGTGTGTGTGTGTGTGAGTGAGAGAGAGTGTGTGTGTGAGAGAGAGAGAGAGACAGTGTGTGTGTGTGTGTGTGTGTGTGTGTGTGTGTGTGTGTGTGAGAGAGAGACAGTGTGTGTGTGTGTGTGTGTGTGTGTGTGTGTGAGTGAGTGTTAGACTTCTGACTCTTTAAACGTCATGTTGACCATGAGCTGCTCTTGACCAGACGCTTTTAGAAATGTTCTCTTAGTCACGGACAGACGCGTGCGGTCCTTCATTCTCACTGTGAGTGTTTGCTGTCACTGAGGCGAGAGAAACCTGAGGGTCCCTGATGGATCGTATCTGTCCTCGAGACCACCAGAACAGAAGGGAGAGAGGCTAAAACATCATTACAACACAAAAAAACACAGGAGCACCTTCTGACATTCATAAATCTGCTGCGGTCAAACTCAGACATTTATTAATCATTTATTGACGGAACGCATAGCTGGTATGAAAAAGATGGATGATTAGTACTTAATTCTGAAAATACAGATATTCTAATTATTGGACAAAAAGCCTCTGCAGGTATTAACCAAGAATACTGTCCAACACTGGATTAGATTTGATTATGGTAATCCTCTGAAGCTAAAAGGTAAACTCTGGAACTCCGGATCCGGGGATCAGCGATTCTGTTGAACAGCTGACACAGACGCAGACACTAATGGGTCATCGCAGGGGTCAGGGGTCATCGCAGTTGTTATTATTTTTAAGTCATTATTTAGTCATATTTAAATAAGTTTGAATGTATACCTTTCAGAAAAAGTAACAAAAAAAAAAACTATTTACTTTCAAATAATTGATATTAATCTGATGTATGATGATTATAACAGTGAAAGAGGACATTTATGATTTATAACTGCAATATTTTTTTTCTTCTATATTTCAATATTGCACAAAAGCTTTTGAAAAGGAGCCTGTAACTATTGCTGACAGATATTTCCACATGACAGTATGAAGGAATTAAAACAAAGATAGAGAGAGACAATCAGCAACACTATCAGATCAAACAAACCACCAGGACATGTGAAGCTAATCTCGGATCTGGGAAAAAGTGTTTCTGTCCTGAGATCAAGAGTTTGTGTTTGGACTGATTCTCTGGATTTTGTTGCTTTTCCATCATCCAGACTTCAGCCACTAACATTCCTGCTGCAACAGTGGCCTGTCGTCACACGTCGCTGTCCACACAAACAGAGTTTATCACCTCGTCAGCCGGCGTTAGAGTTTCAGCACACGTCTCAGATCCTGAATCATGTCAAACTGGATACATGTAGTTTAGTTAATGATCTCTCCACACTCAGTGACTGTGAGACAGCGAGGAGCCGCAGTGTCTGAGAGCCGCTCGTATCTGCGCGCTCATGCGAAACGCTTTCTTTCTGCTAATGTAAACAGCTAAGCTAACTCGAAAAAACACTTCTGTTCTGAGCATTAACACGAGCTTTATATGAGTAACTAACGACTCACCGAGATCTTGGAGCAATCTGTGAATATACACAATATTTACAAGTTCAGTGTTTTATTTGATTTCCAGTTTAAGACCCTTTCAGCAGCGAAAGCAAGAGAAGCATAAACAGCCCTTTCTTAATACGCAATTTAATTACGCTCTGCAACATGGGGCTTCTCTGGCCAGATTCCCAGACAATAACACCGGCCGTGCGGACTCCAGGTGTGCCAGATGTGGGCCAGATCTGGGCCGACACTATGTTGCTGTGTGTCTGTGTGTCTGTGTGTGTGTGTGTGTGTGTGTGTGTGTTGGGCAGGTTTAGGGGGAGGGTTCGTAAGGGGACAGAATATATAGTTTATTCAGTATAAAAAAAACATTTTGTCTATAGAGAGTCCGCTTAAAACATGAAAACACAACATGTGTGTGTTTGCTTGTTTGTGTGTGTGTGTCTGCACCTGGTTCTTCAAAGATTCAAATGAAACCCGTCTGTGGACAGATATAAAACAGCAGTGATAAGCGGATAGCAGACACCTCGACATGAGGGACGGTTATATCTGCATCTCTCGGCATGAAAGGGAAACTGTGTTGCGAGAGAGGAAAGGCTGAACATCTGACAGATGTTTGAAGATCGTCTGGACGTTTTTAGCTCGACTTTAAGAAACAGTAAATATTCAGCACGTTCTGTTTGCTCCACAAAAAAAAATCACACATTTTTATCAGATAATTACAGTTTCTTTTCCCCAATAGTCAGCAAGCATTGTCCATTACTGAAGGTCTGCATAACCAACATCAATCTGTCCTCCAAAACTCACACCAGCAAAACTCTTCATATCTCCAAACTCCATTACACCGGCACACTAACAACAGCAGCTAAATGATATTTCACACAAATCAATATTTCATTATAAGAGAAGAACATCTTTTTGTTTTACTGACCGTAGTACAGCATAAATAATAAATTAGAAATGCAGCTTGTTTTGTTTAGTGAGTAATTTACTTGCAAAAAACAAAAAGGCGAAACAACAACAAAAAATCCTGAAGCACCAATTACAACACAAACACAAAAAACAAACCCATCAGAAACATGTCTAAATGCTGTGTGTGTGTGTGTGTGTGTGTGTGTGTTCCTCAGGGCAGGATTACAGGTGTTGAATATCCTCGAGATTAAACTCAAGCTTGCAGATGTAAAGTTCTGTCAGGTTTGTGTAACTCGAGTCTGATTCAGTCAGGAAATATCAGATGTCTGAATGTAAAAGAGTTTAACAGCGTCTTTGAGCTTCATGATTCTGACGAACACTATGGTTCGGGTCATGTCGGGGTCAGCGAGGGGTGAAAGGGCACATCGGGGTCAGCGAGGGGTGAAAGGTCATGAGATCATGAGCCGAAGACAGAGAAGATTACGGCTTGTCTGAAGAGAATGTGTTCGGCTTTAACCGAGTCAGTCACCTTTATTATAAAGAGCGAGCTGAAGTAACTTCTGTTATGGTTCATTTTTTTATTAATTTAGTTTATTTATACACTGAACAAAATTATAAACGCAACACTTTTGTTTTTGCCCCTGTGTTCATGAAACTCAATGATCTAAGACTTTTTCTATCTACAAAAAAGGCCTATTTCTCTCAAATATTGTGTTAGTGAGCACTTCTCCTTTGCCGAGATGATCCGTCATCGATGATCAAGATGCTGATTAGACAGATCCAAAAACCAGTCAGTATCTGGCGTGACCACCATTTGCCTCACGCAGTCAAACACATCTCCAACACATCTCATCTCCATCTCCAACACATCTCATCTCCATCTCCAACACATCTCCATCACATCTCCATCTCATCTCCATCTCCAACACATCTCCATCTCATCTCCATCTCCATCTCCAACACATCTCCATCTCCAACACATCTCCATCTCATCTCCATCTCCAACACATCTCCATCTCATCTCCATCTCCATCTCCAACACATCTCCATCTCCAACACATCTCCATCTCATCTCCATCTCCAACACATCTCCATCTCATCTCCATCTCCATCTCCAACACATCTCCATCTCCATCACATCTCCATCTCATCTCCATCTCCAACACATCTCCATCTCATCTCCATCTCCATCTCCAACACATCTCCATCTCCAACACATCTCCATCTCATCTCCATCTCCAACACATCTCCATCTCATCTCCATCTCCATCTCCAACACATCTCCATCTCCAACACATCTCCATCTCATCTCCATCTCCATCTCCAACACATCTCATCTCCATCTCCAACACATCTCCATCTCCATCTCCAACACATCTCCATCTCCAACACATCTCCATCTCATCTCCATCTCCATCTCCAACACATCTCATCTCCATCTCCAACACATCTCCATCTCCATCTCCAACACATCTCCATCTCCAACACATCTCCATCTCCATCTCCAACACATCTCCATCTCCATCACATCTCCATCTCATCTCCATCTCCAACACATCTCCATCTCATCTCCATCTCCATCTCCAACACATCTCCATCTCCAACACATCTCCATCTCATCTCCATCTCCATCTCCAACACATCTCATCTCCATC